GCCTGTGTTTGTTGGCTCATCTGCCCGTGTCTTCACACTAGCATATAAACCCCCAAGAGAAGAGGCCCGCCTATCTTGCTACCTTTTCCATCCTGGAGCTCAAAGCCATGCATGACCCATGGTATGATGAACAAATCAATAAATGAAAGATAGTATACTACAAACTGAATTCATCATAAAAATGTATAAAATGAAAGAGAAATGTTAATGTGTTATGGTTAAATTATGAATCAGGATTTAACTGACATGAGAAGATTAATTAATACAGATGTTATTTGTGAATTTATTGACTTTTCAAAATATTCTGGGGTGACCATCAAGCTACCTGTTTTTCCACTGAGGTTTAAGAGATTTTTTATGTCATAAATTCTAAATATTGGGATGGTCTAGTAGCAGGAATAATTAGTTGACTATACAGCATGCATTCCTTTTCTTCCTTGCTAAGGGATCCCTATTTCATTCAAACATCCCTTATTCCCATGCCAGCATGTGTTTCATGCTAGGGAAGCTGAACCTATTTTCAGCTCCACCTGTGGACCTGATTGATCTAGGGGTACCTTTAGTCCTCTCACCAATAACTGGGAAGAGAATGGGTATGTGCCCTTTTTATGGCCAATGAGAGGTGAGAGGAAGTCAGGAAGGGGCTACTGGGAAAGGTTTCCTAATTCTTCTGGGAAGGCAACAGAAGAAACTGTCTCCCCTCTTTCTCTGGAAAGCATTATGCCTGTAGGTGATGCCCAGAACCCCTGCTGCCATCTTACCTGAAGTTAAACCAATCATAAAGATGACCTGGGCAAGTGGTGCTGAGAACCTGGATCCTTGCTGATATCAGGAAGTCACAGAATCAACCACCCTGAACATGGTTCATCTACGGGTGTTTCTGTCTGTGAGCTAATAGCTCTTTTTATGGTTTCAGTCAGCTTGACTGAGAATGTCCTGCTTCTGAATGCATGCTATTGACACCTTTTATCTGATGGTACTTCCTGGATGCATTCCTCTCCCATCTCTCCTAAAACCAGTTTTCAAATTATTCTTTCAAAATACAAAAAAACAAAGAGTAGCTCTACTGCTACATTTGGTAACCTGATACTTCAAAAGAAAAGCAAATAGTCTGGCATTTTGAAGACTTCAGAAGAGGAATGTCCTTTATTAACAAATTTCTGCAGGCAAACCTCACAGCTGCATGGCAATATACCCAGAGATAATAGCCATTAATCCTTGGGAAAAGCAATGTTTTTGAAGCTCAGACCACTTGAATGCACACATATCTGCCAATCTTGCACACAATTCAGGAAATTTTGTCTTTAATCCATCATTTCCAATTATAATCCAAGGTTCACCAGAGTAACCCAATACCCAATAAGAGAAATTTGAATATATGGCTTCAAAATAATATAGATTATAAATTATTTCCTTATCTCAATGTTTGAACTTCCTGTACTTATTCATCCCACAAATATTTACTGAGCTCCTATTATGTCCTAGATGTAGGAAATACAGAAATAAAAAGGGCAAAGTCAATCCTGTGAGAGGATCAGAGGCTATCAGCACTGTCCAATAACAGAACTTCCTGCAATGGTAGACATATTCTATGTTTGCTTCACCCAATACAGTAGCCATCAGCCACCTATAGCTAATGAGTACTTGAAATGTACTATCGCAACTTAGGGACAGACTTCTCACTTTAATTTTAATTAATTTAAATTTACAAAGCCACATGTACCTAGTGGCTACCATATTGGACAGCAGAAGTCTAGATGGTAAAGCAGACAAGAAAATCAAAGGTAATGACATGCTGTGATGAGTGCCACACAAAGAGATGTACCTGGCCCTGCAAAGGAGGACTCCAGCTGAAGGGCACACAAGTAATTTAGCCTGGGGCTAGAAGGCAGGAGAAGAAAACACTTAGAAGGAAAGTCGCTTCTTGAATGGAGCCCTAAGGGACAAAGAAAAGTTGATCCCTGAATCAGCTTTTTGTTTCTCTGAAGCAAAAAAATTGCATTAGAATATTCTACTTTGTCATGAAATTAACATGTTCCATTTTAGAGATCTATCTCCCATGCTCTAGTTCACTCCATACATTTATTACCTTGCATCAAGCATATTCATTGTCTAATATTTCAGAGCTTTACTGAATCACTCGCTGCACAGTAGATATAGAGGATCTATAGTCAACATGTTTATGTTAAATATGCAATACAAAACACCCACATGACAGTTTGAATTGGATATCTACTAAGTTGCTGCAGAGTGCGAACTACCAAAATAATTTTATTTGACCCTTCTGTGTGTTTTTCTCTCCTATCTATTCTAAAGGTTGGTTTTCAAATTACTATTCAAAATTCATATTTGACAAAATTATTTCTCCAATTATTTAAACAGTAAGCATGAGGAGATTCGTTTTTCTTCCTGTCCCTTACTGTTCACTGAGATGGTTGTTTCTGACCCTTGAGCTCCTTCTGAAGCCACGAGGCCCATGCCTTCTGAATGAGCATGGAGTGCCAACCCCTGGGAATTGATTCTAGGTCCTGTCATGCCCTCCATGCTCCCTAAACACGACCTTCTATTTCTCTCCAAGGAGAAGAGCTGGGAGTATCTGAGCATCTGAGTACAGTGGGCTTTAGAAGACTAATAGGCACAGAGTGAAAAGGACAGCTGGGGGTAGGGGTACTGCTGCCTGAAGAGCAAAATCACTGGGAGGTCCTCACAATGAGGAAACAGGGCGACAATGAGGAAATGTGTGTTGGAACTCAGATGGCAGCAGCAGGAATGGAAAAGCCTGAGGCAGAGGTGAGGAGACAACTACAGGTAGAATTATCAGGTTGGAAGGACAGGGAATGTTGGAGACAGAGGGGCCAAGATTTTAAAGTGGGGGACTGGACAAACAGTGTAGTTGTTGGTATAAAACATGCAAAGGGAGAGATGGCTTCTTTTGGTGGTAGGGTGAGATTTTGTGGATTTTTGGAGCAGTGGCCTATGACAAACGCAAATTTGAAGACCAGTGGTACAGAATTCAGAGACATCATTGAGGGATGTAAGAGACATGGGAAGGAGCGGGAAGTGAGGGAAAAGGAACTAGATGGGGAGAAACCACATAGATGAACTGATGCTCTTAGAGGTTTCCAGGTCTTTGAAGAGGCAGCTGAGGCCCAGATGAAGGTATTAAATGAGGTGATTGGAGCAGGAGGAAACTGGGGTGGAGGTGGATGAGAAACTGTAGGTCTGTGATTCCCACTGAATAGTGGAGAATATGTTCCAAGAGTGCTTTATTCCAGGAGAGGAAGCATGATCCAGTGGCTAAGACCACAGCCTCTGCCACCACTTACCCTGTTCTAGAATCTTGGCTCGGCCACCTCCTGGCTTGTGTGACCTTGGACAAATCATACTGTCCTTCTGTGCCACGGTTTCCTCTCTAAAATAGTAACAGCAACAGTGCTGTGTGTGTCATTGTGAGGATTAAGTGAGTTAATACATGTAACGTATGTAATATATAGAAGAGGTAGGAGAAGGCAGGTGATCCTTCAGAGCTGGAGGAGGACTTTGAGTGGCATTGGTGGCAGGGAAAGCCATCAGAGGTGAGGTGAAGGTGGTGGCCCATGAAGTGCTGGAAGTTGAGACACTGGCAGACACTGCTGTTGGGAATGTCTTCAACATGAACGTTGAAGTAAATGTGAGCCAAGGTAAGAAAGAGTGGAAGGAAGATCATACGCCTCCCTGGTGGAAGATGGGTGGCACTCAGAATTTTAACATCAACATCTATTATCAATCAAATATGGCAGCCTTGACGGTCAGCAGCTTATGTAACCCTTACCTCGTCTTCTGCTCACAGCAATCTTGCGAAGTCAATGTTTTCCTCCTCTTTAGAAAGGAGAAATTGTCACTCAAGCGCCTTATGCACAATGCCAAAGCTGCCACAAAGAGCCGCCGTGGAAAAGGGGCCCTGAGAACCCGGGCTTGTCTAACTCCCGACAGGGGGAAAGGGGCAGCGGTGGCAGAGTAAGCGTGGGGCTAAGATGGTAATGGAGAGGGGAAGGCAGGGAAGAGGAGGAGGCGACTCCGCAAGACTGAAGCACCGTCGACACTGGTTTCTGCATCCACAAAGTCAAGAGCACCGATCGTTTGACATTGCATTTCTGCTATTGCGGTTGCCCACTGAACTGAGCAAGCCTTTCGCTCTTTTCTTTTTCTGGAAAATAACGACCATTCAGGTTGGGCTGAGTGTCTGACAATGTTTTATGTAGTCTTATTTCCCAGCCCGAACTATTCCCCATGTAATAGTTCCATATTCCTTTTGGAATGTGTAGTGCGATATCCCTCCCTCCCTTCTAGCAACCTGTCTTCTATGATATATACCGTGTCATCCCTTTAGCAATTGGGAAATGCCTTTCTGGAAGCCGGTCTCTTGGCAATTGATGCATTAATTTTCCATTAAAGAGAGTACTCATGCATTCACAGCGAATTGCAGGTTTAAAGTGTTTGCTAATGATCTCTGGCTGCTTGTCAAGCAGAATCTCTATCTGAACATGAAAATACAACATTAATACGATTTGCAACCCATTCACTGAATTCCTAATTTCCTCCAGCAACACAGAGGGATTTTTCTCCATGCTTAAAATCCGTTACAGGTGCTTACTGCATTTGGGCTCCTTTGGAGGTACATCTTCTAAGCCTGACACAGGAAAAAGTTTAAAAATGTTCTAAATGAGTAATCCCCCTACCCCACAATCTTTTAACTCTGATTTATTCCTAAGCTGAAAGTATTCATCACTAGTTGGGCTAAAATAAACTAAGTCTTATGTCATATAATTAAATTACTGGCAGAAATAAAATCTAAAATTCCTCCAGAGTACTTCACATAAACATCAGCAGAATAATTGGGTTGAGGTAAAATATTTTGTTGAAAGGCCAGAAAAAAACGTCACCTGAAGGAATTTGTTTCCCTAATCTCTGACAATGTTTAATTTTCTTTTCATGATAATTATAGAAAAAAATTTCACTTGCCTGTAAAATCCTCTCTTCTTTCAACTCCTTTTCACTTCCTTTCCTTTCCCATATCCTTGCCAGGAACTGGAAATAAAAACAGAAAAACGTTTAAACTTTTAGCTCAACAATAGCCTCTCAAGATTTGGCTAAAGAAATAATGCATTTACTTGGTATTTATAGCTTCTAAATTAAAATTCTAGAAAGAGGCAGTGTTATATTTCCATTCTGTACATCTGATTTTCCTTTTAGTTGGCCCAAGAACAGACTAAATTATCCCAAAGACTTTTGTGCAACCAGGTTACATTAATTTGGAGAATAGTGATTTCAGTTTAATTAAATAGCCTTGAGGAACACACACACCCCCCGGCTCAGTCACTCTGTACTTTTGCCCATTCCGCCCACTCAAGAACTTGTAAGAATGACATCAGCTCCATGTCGGTTGGGAGTCTGCCCTGTCTTTCAGTCACTTGAAATTCCAAATGATACAGTCATTTTGGAAGCCAGAATTGCAGTGTCCATACCACATGGAAAAATTTTTGGCCAGCTTTTTCAGGGTTTACTACAAAATGAACAGTAAGTCAACACAATAGTGGTCCATGAGGCAATAAATCTTTCCTCTAAGACTTTATGTTATCATTTCCATATTTACTTCTAAGTTTTAAAAATTCTCATAACCACCTCTTCCCATTTTCTGTTGAGCAGCAATTTGTAAATTATCTAGTGGGTTAATAAAGTTCCCTTATTTTTCTCACAACCCCTTTAATTGTGCCAGTATTTTTTAGGCAACTCTCCTTTCTAGATGCAGGAGAAAAAAAAAGCAAAGATTGGACTTGGACTGGGAAAATTTGGGATGAACCCCAACTCTGCCATTTATTTGCCACATAGACTGTGACTGGTTCTATAATCCCTCTGAGCCCAGTGGGCTTATCTGTGAAACAATCACATAAATACCTATCGTACAAGCAGAGGATTGATAGAAACAGTAGTTTTAGAAGAAGCTTTCTAACTGTCGAGATGCTGCATATAGGTATTTTTTATTCAGACGCATATGTGTGATGGGGAATATTTGGCAAAAGAACGCACTGGCCTTCTCCCTCTAGGAAGAAAGGGCGCTGTCTCATGTAGCAGCACTTGGTGCTCTGAGACCAATGTCTTCCCGCTCTGATCTGCAGAAAACTCTCCTTCTCGCCATCCAGAACTATCCTAGTCCCAGTGCCCAGACCTACACTCCTACCATTTTAGAGCTCACAGCCTACTGATAACATCTCCCTACAACTTCAAATTCTCTCATTTCTCTGTCCCTTGCCTTCCCCTCTCCTGCCCCTTTTCCTCAAGGCTCCACCTCCCTTTCTGGCCATTCTAAAGGAAGGTAGGTCACTCCTTGCTGCACCTCCCATCACTTGGGGATGGGAGCAGAATGACTAGGACACAATGTTGTATTCTTTACTCTCGTCTGCTGCTTCTAGGTTCCTGTCCCACCATCAACATGCGATGATATTCCTAGATTTTGCCATATGCTTATCCATCTTTCCTTTGCCATTCTTTATTGTTACATTCTGAGACAATTGCCTGGGTCCTTGAAGACACTGAGCATCCACCACAGTCTTCCCTTTCAGCATCTGTCATCCTTTAGGTTTCTAACAACCCTTTCTGATAGATCCTTGTCCTTTAGGGCACTAAGAATACAATTCTTTGGCATTTCCCCTCTAAGGAAGCATTGTAATATACTTGACCATTTATTGCTACTGAGATCTCAAATTGTGAGAGCCCCATAATAGGCCATAGCCTTGACTTTTCAAGTCTTTCAAACCCTAATTCATGTGACATCTCCTTCCCCATCATGACATCCACTTCCTCAACTCCTCCCTGCTTTCCCAGTGGGTAGCCAACTATGGTCAGATGAACATTAGCCCTCCAAAGATGTCCATGCCTGATTCCCTGGAACCTGTGAATATGTTACCTTATATGGTAAAAGGGACTTGCCGAAGCGATTAAATAAAGGATCTTTGGATGGGGAGAGGATCCTGGATTATCCCTGTGAGCCCAGTGTAATCATGAAGGTCCTTACAAGAGGGATGCAGGAGGACCAAGGTCAGACAAGAGGATATGAGGATAGGATTGGAGATTGGAGGGATGCAGCCATGAGACAACCAATGTCAGCAGCCTCTGGAAGCCACAAGAGGCAAGAAACAAATTCTCTCTTGGAGCCTCCAGAGGAACCAGCCCTGCTGACACCACAGTTTCAACCCAGTGAAACTCATTTTGGACTTGTGACCTCCAGAACTATAATAAATTATTTTTTATTTGACCCACTAAGTTTGTGGTAATTTGTTACAGCAATGATAGGAAACTAGTACACCACCCATGCAGCTGAACGGCCTCTTAACCCAGTTCTGAGAGTGCCAATACTAAATAATTTCAGTTTTGCTCTTTTTCTTTACCCTAGAATTCCTCTTGTTTGGGACCTTCCTGGATTCCTGCCGTGCCAGTCCCTAACCTTGATTGAATTCTGTCCTAGTAATGGATTTTTGCATGCCTGCTCAGCAGTTGCTGAGTGATGTCGGCGTAGATCCCAGACTAATTAGGATCACTTAAAAATCTCTGGATTTTAGATTTTTGTTCCTTTAAGATTTCTCACTAGTGGCTTAGTAGCAGATGCTACAAATATTTCTGCTCTGCCTGGGATCCCAAATCTACCTCCTCTTACTTCACATTTGGATGAACCCACCTTTACTGAGAAGATTGAGCTCATCTACAGCCTTACCGCTTTCCTTCTATTTTTAGCTACCTCTTTTCTTCCCTCTTGTCTGAAAAGCAGTGCTCTTTCCCCTTCTCGAGTCTGCATTCTCTCCATGTCCCCTGGATCCCAGAACATCCCACATATTCCTCAACCTCACTCTATCCATTAGCTTCTGTCATTGGAGCACATAAAGAGGGGTCATTAGTTCCACTCCTGTGCGCAGAGAAGCAACATCTAAACCACCCAGGAAAAATCATTCTCTAGTTTTTTCCTAAAGATCTCCAGAACCAGAAATCCATATCTTCTCTCTTATTTCCTTTTGTATTGTTTCTTTTCCTTAAAACTCAGGAAGTTCTCAAGTGGGAAAGAACATTCAGCTATTCTGCCTTTTAGAGATGCACAAGGGAAATGACAGACATAATGACAGCAGGAATTCTCTGAGATCATGCAAATTGCAAATATATTTGTAAATATAAAATGATGCTTTGTCTTGATTTGGAAAACAGAGTCACTCTTCCCATGAGTCCTACAGATGTTTATTGAATTAAATGGTCAAAGCAACTCATTGAAATGGAAATTTTCCATGAGCTGATCATCATGGGCTGTACAACTTTTACCGCAAATAGCTGGATCTACCTTCAGGTAAGCATCTCTCCATCTTTGTCTCCATAAGTTAGCTACAAAATATTATTTTCATCAATGTATAACTTTTATCATATGGCTTCTCATTGTGGAAAACAGAATTATGTGCCTTCTATTGCTGACACTAATATGTTTCAAAACCTCACATGATAGTTCCAACAAATTTTGCTGGCAATCAAAGTCCATGGATGAAGAGAAAGAAGCATAAAAGGGAAAAGTTATTTTAAAAAAACCACACAACTGACTTTATGTAGATGTAAAAGATGTCAACATTGGGGGGAAAATCTTGCTTATTTTAAAATGTCTAACATTATTCTAGCCAAATAAATACAGAACTAAGCTCTTGCAGAAATAGAATCCTTGTGGAAAAGATACAGATTTTTTCACATAGCTATTTACTCTTTGCTTAAATTAATTGCATGTGTATGTAAAGTACACAGACTTATAATTTTAAAAACACATTAAGTATATTAAACTTGTCAAAATTTATATTTTCAATCTATGAATTTACATATATGTGAAATATGCAACCATTTCAACAATACTACCAGCATACAATTAAAATCCCAAATGTAAGATATTAAAGATATAATGAAGTTTATATAAGAGAAGTAATATGGAGTAGTGAAAAGAAAGTACATGTATTAGTCAAGACGATCTGGGTTTGAATCTTTTTTACTCACTATATAAAATTTAACAAGTTCAATTCCATTAATTGATTATAGCCATTAAATAATTCCATTAAATTGGCTACAATAAGTTTAGAAAATATGAATGAATGATAGACATAACTTGGCAGGGTTAATAGCCAAGTATTTGAAACCAAGAAGCCCTCTAAGTATATCTTACCATGGTTATAAATCAAAGAGAAAAGGTAATTGTTCAGGAGATGTACAACTGTCTGGGCAATAAAACATTCCTAATAAAACCCTAACATAACAAGAAAAAGGATTGAAATGGATACGTCAACAGTGCTGCAGTTATAAAATATAAATTATTGATGTGTTTTGCTTAAAATAATTTGGACTAAAAATGAAGCTGTTTTCCTAAAGTGAAGCTCAGTTACATTTTAACACTTTTCTGTCATCATTATCACATAGTATTTGAAGAGAGAAAAATAGGTATATAATTTGGAAAAAAGTGGAATTTTTTTAAAAATTGGGAAAATAATTATGTGATTCTCATCTTCCAGAGCTATTGTGGGGCATAAATGAGTCACAGCCTCTCCAAAAACACAGGTTTCCCTTCTTCCTTCCATTCAAGGACTGTGCCTAATTGTTTGTTCCCCAAGAGTGTCCAACAGAATGCTTTGAACAAAGACATTCAATAAATGCCTGCTAAGTAAATCAATGTCTTAGAAAGAATTTGACTATGTACATTATCTGCTCTCTTCTACCCTTTGAGAGAACTCCCCAAAATCAATCGAGTTAATCATTTCTTTTCACATAAGAACAGTATCTCATTTTCTTTTGGAGAACCTTACATTTTGAGTTTTCTTTAAATTATTTGCCTTATATGGTTGGCAACCACTTGGCTAAAAAGCATGCCAAAAAGAAAAGCCCACCATTTTAGCCAAGCTATTGCTGTTGAAGTTTTCATGCATTTGACCTGTGATGAACATGTCATCTCTCCAAACAGCTATTCATGTTTCTACTCTAGCATGGCTTTCCCTAGACCAGCACCAGCCCATGAAAACAAGAGT